ACCTCAGTTTTTGGAATGCCACTAGGGTAGCCGTAAGACCCTTCCACCTCCCCACTGGACAGCACCTAATTCTTCCGTTTTAGCGCACTTCTCCCCCCAGCACGGTACACAGGACAACGTGGAGTGGGACTTGGCAACCATCCAGACCTCGGGCTTTGTGAACCTGGGATGTCACTGGCCACACTGTGCTAGTAGGACTTCTCTGTAGGGTCCACCTCATCAGCATCCCCTGTGGATTCAACAAAGCCGTGTACCCACAACATCTAGCCCAATGCCTGATACTTGATAGGCATTCGAGAAATCATTGTTCTTATTCCTGGTGTCTTTCTTGACACCCCATGTCTCCCCAGTCTTCTGTCGAAATCTTGTGCGTGCTTTTTAAATGGCCAGCTGGAAACCCCATCTCCAAGACACCTTGTTTATCAGCCTCAGCCAGAGCACGGGTTTCTTTGAGGCATCCCAAGATGCTAACTTGTGTTCCAGCCTGGAGGTCGTTCTCCCTTCTATTCTGCTCAGAATGTCCCCTGCCGCACAGAACCTCTTACCTTTAGGAACCACTTCCTAAAGGCATTTCCCAGCCCCATGCGTGGCCCAGAAAGAGAGTTTGAGCCCAACTTGTAGAGTAAATGTGTTTTGAGTTACTGAGCGAAGCTGAGGTCACCTCATCTGCTTTGGGATCCAGGGCTTCAAGCCTTCCCTTGCCAGGCTACTGTGGGTGGCTAATCAGTTGCAGAAGTAGAAATTAAAAAGTGTCTTTTGTGGCCAACTTGGAGATGAAGGCATCTTGGATTTCACAGCTTTGAACCACCAACAGGTTTCTTCAGCCCTTCAGCCCTTGGGAGCTGCAGCGCATCAGCCAGCTATAAGAGAGGCTATGGAAATGCAGTCTGGCACAAAGGAACCTTCTGGAAACAGTCTGTATCTTTCTTAATTGGGGTGGTGGGTACATATGTTTGTTAGAACTCATCAACTATGCTCCAGATCTGAACAGTCACCTTATACAGATTATACCTCCATAAAATTAATTATTTAAAAAGAAAAAGAAAAAAAAGTGCAGTCTAAGCAGATAAACTGGGCACCGGGGCCTGTTCTGGTCTTCCTGTGGTCTTGCCTCTTTAGTGGGAGGCTAAGCCAGCGTGTCCTGTCCTTTCCTGGACAGCCCCTGTAATCCCTTCGGTCCTGAGCTGGGCCTGGTGCATAAGGCACCTCCCCGTCTTCCCCTGAGACCCCGCCCTGGCCTGCCGCTGAAGACAGAGTCAAGCCTCGAGGGGTTGAAGTGAGGTCTCCTCCCACCAGAGGGGCTGAGCTTTAAATCAGTGTGAAACTCAAAGCCACTCTAACTGAGATTGGTGCACCCATCCGAGAAGCCAATAGGGAGAAAGAGCCGGTTTTCCATCAATATTGGAATGGATGGATAAACGCAGGTGGCACAGAGACACCTTGGAATATCATCCCACCTCAGCAGGGAAGGATAAATATTCACGGATAAACATCATAACAAAGATGACCCTTGTGACGTTAGGCTAAAGTGACATAAGCAGGAAAAACGTTGTCTGATCTCCCTGACATGGGGCACGTGGAAAAATCAAATTCATGGAGATGGGAGCAGAGTGGCGGTGGCCAGGGCCTGGGGAGGGAGGGTACAGTCTACTAAGCGAGGACATTCAGCTCCAGAAGATGCAAAGTCTCCAGAAATGGGTAACGGTGATGGTTGCCCGGTATGGAGAACTGTGCCCGGGAATGAGTGCCCCTGACATGAACGTTTAACATGGCTAGGACGGTGACATTCCCCATATATATATTCCACCCCAGTGAAAATCCACGTCTTGAGCCTGCCTTCCAGCCCCCTGTAAAATTTGACATCATGTGCCCTGTCGGGCCAAGGATTTCATTTCTGATCCTTAAGACAAAGGTTTAGAAAAGAGGCTGTCTCCGAGTGACGCCCCTTTCAGTGACAAGTGTCCTTCCTGAATGCCCAGGGTCCTTTTGTCGAGACAAAGGCACAGTCACTCCACTGGTTAATGTGATTTCCTCTTGTTGGCTCTCGGGCGGCGGCTGGCCTCCACCTGACGACCAAGGGGTGAATCTTACTTTATCGCTCCGGCGACTCCCAGCATCATAATTGGGGTGACCCTGTCCTCGAGACCCAAGGGGCTGCCGAGCTGCAGAAATCAGAGCACATTCTATGGATGGCAGCCTGGCTGTCAGGGTGGGTTGGCTCTTGGCCTGTAATTCAGAGTGACACGCGGGCACTTGTCACAGCAGGGAGCCGGGTACCCGTGCTGTCAGAGCCATGCTGGGCCCCGTTGAGCACAGGGTGGAGGGTTAAAAGAGGCTGCTCTGCCACCTTCACGTGGGGCCCATGTTTGTTGTGTTCTCTGAATGAGTGACCTTGCCCCTCACTGCCCCTCACCGGGGTAGTGCTTTGCACGGAGGAAGGCAGGCCCTGGGGGCAACAGGCTGAAGGGGGCTGGGTGGCCTTTGTGTTGGCAAAACAAAACCTGATTTTTGAGTCCCAATATCACTCCATCAAGGTTTACGGCATTCAGGCCTTTAGGAGAACAAAGAGGACCTGTCTAAAATGCCTGCGCCCGTGTTCTGGAAAGGACTGCACACTGTTTACCCCAAGGCTGGTGTCAATCAATACATGCCACACACGGTACGGAAAGACAGTGACGTTCTCAGACAGATCTCTTGTTTCTCCTCTTACCTAATGAAATTGTGAAAAAAGCGCGCGCGCGCACACACACACACACACACACACACACACACACACCGCACCACCCCACACACCACCCTTCTCCCTGCTCTGGGGAAAGGACGGCTGGTTCCTTCTGTCTCTGTTTTCCACAGAGACTTGTTCAGACAGTGCTCCTGTCCCACACCAGTCCACCTCTGATGTCACCTTCCTGCGATCTGGCCTCAATCTCTGCTTCTGTCTTTGTTCTGAGCTTCCTCTTAGAGCTGTAGGTGGCTCTCAGGTTCAGCTGGTGACTGCTGCTGCCACCACTCCCATGAGCAAACGCTGCAGCCTCCTGGAGGCTCTGGCCTTCCCCACGGTACCGCCACACAATCATGCCACTGTGGAGAAGGAAAAGGCGTTTACAGGCCTTTGGGAAGGACAAGGGACTTCTTTTTTGTTTTTCTTGAAAAGCTGGGGGTTGAACCCAGAGCTTGGCACACCCTAGGCAAACACTCCACCACTGAGCCCCAGCCCTTTATTTTATTCTGGGATGGGTCTTGCCAAAGTTCCCAGGCTGCTCTTGAATTTTGGATCCCCCTGCCTCCACCTCCCAAGTGGCTGGGGTTTCAGGCAGGAGCCAGTGTCATTCCTTGATGGGGTTTGTGCTGTAAGTTCCTGCAGTGGGCAGAATCAGGCACTGGACCACAGAACAGGACAACTTGTTCTGTGGAACACACTCAGACGTCTCCAGCAGACCCAGAGCAGGCGTCCCGTTGAGCCACTCGCGGCCAGCAGCGTGGCAGCTGCATTAGCCTCAGAATGCAGAGACACAGCCATATGATACACCGGGAGTCAGCTGTGGGCCAAATTTGGAGCACAGAACTGTGGGGCTGAAGGAAGCAGGAGGTCTCGGTTGAGCATTTGGGAAGCGTTGCTTCATAGGCTCTTGGCTGAGGTTTGGGGCATTTGGAGTTTGGCTGCTTGCAAGAAGCTACAATTCTGATACCCTCTGGGCATGTGACACTGGGGCAAACGGAGGCTAGAGAGGAGAAATGACACCTCCAAATTCACACCACCAGTCGTGACAGAACAAGGCTAAAACCCAGGTTTCTTCCAACACCTGGCCCAGGAGTCTTTCCCCCACCCCCTTTTTTTTGGGGGGGCACCGGGGATTGAACTTGGGGTCACTCAAACACTGAGCCACACCCCCAGCTCTATTTTGTATTTTACTTAGAGACAGGGTCTCACTGAGTTGCTTAGCACCTTGCCGTTGCTGAGACTGGCTTTGAACTGTCGATCCTCCTGCTTCCAGCATCCTGAGCCGCTGGGATTACAGGCGTGCACCACCATGCCCGGCCCAGGAGTCTTTTGGCCGTCCTGAAACAGAATGGTAGAGTGGGGAAGGCAGCACGGCCCCGCGGACTCTGCATTTCTAACCACCTCTCAAGAGCTGCTGCGGCGTCAGCTGCTGGGCCTGGGACCACACTTTGAGAAAGATGCAAGCCGTCGGCTTCATCTGCAAGGAGGCCAGTGACCTTGGTGCAAAGCTGGATTCCTGATTCCACTTGGTCCACTGCTGTTCTGTGTATCTTTACCTAGATATCTAAAAGCAGTTGACCTAGACCCTCAGCAAGGAAATTATCTGTCACCCTTTGTCAACTCCTTGCTATCTAGATCCCAGGTGCTCTCTGGCATGCAGGAGGCTGGAGCACAACTGAAATGTGTATTTCAGATACTAAGAGGGTGTGTTCACGGCTGTGAGGAGGGCGAACATGAGGAATGATCTTGGTTGTGAAGGGGGACATTGTGTTACTTGTCTGGGCTGCAGCCAGGCTACCTCTAGTGTAGAGTTGGTCTTCAGAATTTGGGACAAAGGGACAATTTGTATCATTTCTCTCTTTCAAAATAAGAGACCCTCGGTGGCAAGATTATCTGGGCGCTGCCTTTTCCACCTTGCTCACCGATCTGGAGTCAAATCTCCCAAAGTTTCAGAGCCCACATTGAGAAAATAGCAGATAATACCTCTGAAAGATTGACAGCATAATTAGGGACCCCCACATGCATGCACCCCAAATCCTCTTCTTTCTTCACCATTTCTCAGACTTTAATTCAGAATCGTTCTTTTAATTTATTTTTTTTTTTAAAAAAGCGCAAATTGACTGTAAGTTTGATGATCTGGGTTATAAATTCTGCAAATTTCTGACCTGGCAGGGGTAAGGAGAAGGGCTGGGAAGGATAATAACAGTAAGAAACTCTTGCTAGAAGCTTGTCCTGGCCCATTTTCTGATGCTTTAACAAAATACCAGAGACTAGGTAATTGATAAAGAAATGAGGTTTATTTGGGCTCATGATTCTGGAGGTAGGAAAGTCCAAGAGGATGGCACTGGTGTTTTCTCAGCTTCTGGTGAGGGCGTCTGTGTCACTGCGAGGTAGATAAGCAGAAGAGACAAAATACAGGGCTCAGACTTGCTTTATAACAGCCTGTTCCCGAGGTAAGGAGTCTGGTCCCACAGGGAAGGAAGGCACAACCTTAAAGGCTCCACCTCCCAACGCTGCCACAGTCGCAGTCAGATTCCAACATGAGATTCAGAGGGAAAAAACCATATTCAGATCATAGTGAAGCTGATCAGAGGTGACACCTGCTAAACTCTAGGTCACTTACACACTTGGAAAGCACAGCAGCCCGAGGCCCAGGAGTATCGGGACGCTGACTCCTTCAGTCCTGGGGACCAAGCTGTTGGACAGCCCGGGTGTCTCTGTGACGTCACATTCTATTCAGCATTTTGCGAATTTTGCTTCAGAGTATTTTGTCTTTTAAATGGCTGAAATGTTTCTGTTCTGTTTAAGACTGGACATTGAGAGATATAATGTCTTTATCTCAAAAACTTCTCTGTACGTGAGAAAAACGAGGCCTTTACGGATGATCCTAGCCATGACACTGCACTGCCCTCAACTGCCTCTTTCTGAGTCCTTCCCGGGTGCGTTGCCTCTCGTTTTTCTCTTCTTCCAGCGTCTTCATGGTCGTATTCTGCACAGTCCGAGCCTCGCCTTACTTTTTCTTTAGTTTGACTGATTCTCCACTCAACCCCAATGATTCCAAAACCTCGTGTGTCCAACTCCTAGCTTCCTATGAAACGTTTGTCCTGACGTCCTCCTGCCTCGACTTCCATATATCCAAAAGCAAATCTTCCATTTTCTTCTGGAACCTACCTCCTTTTCTGCATTCCCTACTTCCGCGGGTGGTCACACCAGCCCCCCAGCCCTATCTTCTCATTTCCGGCTCTTTCTGTTCTCTTCTGCCACAGAGCAGACCGTCTTCAGGAAAGTTTTCTGAGTTCCTATCAGATCCCAGGGATCTGGATCTGTTTGGCTCCCTCATTTTGTCCAGGGGGACAGAACACACTGACTTGTCTGAACTGGTCATGTCCTTGCCCTATTGGTGGGTCAGAACCCCCCCAACCATATTGCATGGGTTCACATGGGGGAGATCCTATCATCAAATGAAAGGGTGATGGATATCAGACAGGCAACAGATTTCACAACTGGATTCTGTTGGCTCTTTCTCACCTTTTTCTTCTGTCAGTAATTGACCATGTGCTTGGCAAAGTATCCAATCAGGTGCTCCACAGCATTTGGTGTGTTAATGATGAGGAGTGAACCAATGGGCGGTGGGAGGAGGGGGAGTGGGGAGCCAATGGTTGAAAGATGGAAATCTTTCCACCCAGCTTCAGGGAAGGCAAGATGGGGGAACCAGGCCCAGATCTCAGGGGACTCACACCCCTGCTCAGCAGAAGCCGATTACTGTCTGTGGTCCAATGTCCCCTTGGGGATGGTCCAGCCCTCAAGGGCAGTCCCTGGCCAGGCGCACCTGTGCAGCCCCTCCCAGCCCCTGGCACAAAGTTGAGTGCCATGCAGGCCTGGCTGGTGGGCTGCGAGTCAGACAGCAGCTCTGTTCATCCCCTTTTTAGCCAGACAGTAGGAGCTGGTCAGGAACAGCTAATACTTCTGGGTGACTGAGGTCGCAGCTCTCCTGGATTCCTGGTTTCAGGAATAGCACACCCACCCTTCTTACTCAAGCCATTTACAATTGAAGACACATCAGACTTGTAAAAAATTAAAGCCACAACCAAACACACACACACACACACACACACACACACCAAAGGAAAAAGGTCCAAGCCAAAGGACTGGTGCCTTCTTTTCATGCAAAAGGATTTGTGGAGTTTGGGCCCCCGTCCAGAGCCTAGATACATCTTCCAGAAGCTCCTGTTTCTGGCAGTGACCATGGTGGTCGGCTGCTGGAACTGACTCGCAAACTGAAGAATTCATCCTGGGAGGGGCTGGGGCACAGACTGCCTGGTATGACATTGTCCTACACCCGTGGTCTTGGGAGGCAGTGTTTTCTTTTCCATCCCTGTCATCTCTTGTCTAAAACAGCCTCTCAGAGTTTGGCAATCATCTTTCTTCCTTGGTTGTTCCTTTCCTCATCCTTGCTTTAATTGCTTCTTTCTCTATGCATGTGTTTATTAAGGAACAAAAATGAGCTGGGCATTTAGAGGACTTATTTCAATCCCATTAGACCGGCCCGACTGGAAGATTGGATGCCCAGGGCGGCTTCTGCGGATGAGAGGGCGCAATCGTCGCAGGGATTAGCCTGTTGGCTGTCCCCTGGTCTGACGGGAGGCCCTCCTCCTGGGTCTCTGGCTCTCTCTGCTGGACTCTTGTTCATTTCCTGTGGGGCCTGTGAGTTCTGATGGAGGCGGCCTGCACTCAGGGTTGGGCTATTCAGGGAATTGCTGAGTCTCCTGCTTTCTGGACCTGACCTTTTCTGCAAAGCACGTGCTGTTCTTAGGGCTTGTCAGCATTTGGAAGGAAGCAGTCCCCTGGGAATCAGTGTCCAGCCTCGGTCCCTCTTGATTCTCTCCCCAGGAAGGAGGCAGGGAAAAACCCAATCCTGTGGTGACAATTTCCATCCTGAATCCTCACCTGGCCAAGATATAAGTTGTTAGGACCTGAGGAGTTGAACCTGGAAGATGGACTCAGAACAGCTGCCTGAGCTTTGCACCTGGGAGGAACCATGTCTAGTTACCACTCAGACAGTGCTTTCTTG